GGGAAGACCCTCTATGAGGTGGATTGATTCAGTGACTGGGGTAATCGGGATGGGTGTGTCAGAGGCAATGCAATTGGCACAGGGTAGAGCAGGGTTTAGGGCTGTTGTACATAGGGTCGCTATGAGTCGCAAACGATTCGACGGCACATAACAACAACAACAACAACAACAAAATAATATATAAACAATGTATGATCTGGATGGCTGGGATTTGCTGAACTCCTGTTCAATGGAGCCTTTCTGAGCGGCCCCTCCCCCATATCATTAATTCAGCTCTGCTCAGCTATCCCCCAACCCTTGTCTTCACAGCTAGTGCTAACTGTATGAGTTGTGATAATCCCTTTTATCATAATAGGGTAGGGGTCCCTTAGAAGTAGAAACTATTCCCGTTGCTACATTACCAGCTCTGTTCAGGCATGCAGCAGATAATCAGCATCTGTGTGAGGCATGACTCAGTCAATCAAGAGATAAATGGATGAGTAAATAAATGAAGATTGTTATTGTTAGATGCCATCAAGCTGGTTCCATAAAACAGTGACTGTATGTGTGGCAGAATGAAACATCAAGTCTTAGCAACCATTGTCATGTTGGAGCCCATTGTTGAATCTCGCTGAAAGTCTTCTCTTTCTTGATCATTCTCTGCTTTACCAAGCATAGTGTCCTTCTACAAGGACTGGTCCCTCTTGATAACATGTCCAAAGTAGGTTAGGTAAAGTCTTTCCATCCTTGCATCTAAGGGACATTTTAAGTGTCCGTCTTCCACTACAGATTTGCTCATTGTTCCTGTCCATCCACTGCTGGCAAGCTGGTTCTGACTCACAAGAGACCTTCCATCAGATTCTTGAGGCTAAAACTCTTTGAAGGGGGAAACTGTTTATCTTCTTCCTTGGAGTGAATGGTAGATTTGAACCATTGACCTTGAGGTTAGCAAGCTAGTGTGTCAGGTACATGGAAAGCCACCAGGATTTCTCAGTCTACTGGAAGTCCTCAGCAGAGTCAATGAGTATGAAATCCAAATGGCTCAGTCATAGTTATGCGTCACCTTCTCAAGTTCTCTGATTATCTGTTCAAGCTCCAAGCCTTTCCCACATGTTACCTCCAAATTCTTTACCATGTTATACTTTCCTGTGAAGGGCATCATGCTTGGAAGGGTGGAAGGACAACACAAGAGAGGAAGAACCTGAAAGAAACGAATTGACTCAGTGACTGAGGTATTGGGGTAAGTGTGTCAGAGAAATGATACTGGTTCAAGACAGAGCAGAGTTCAGAGCTGTTGGACATAGGATCGCTAAGGGTTGCAAGTGACTCGACAGCACGTAACAACAACAACAACAACAACATATATCTAGTACTGAATTTATTTTATTTTCTTGTCTCTATCTCCCTGACTCTCACTGCCTGATAGAATATAATCTCATAAAGGCAAACGTCTTTGAAGGCTTTGCCCACAAATGTATCTATGAGCCTAGAACTGTGCCTGACAGTGTGAATAAATGGATGGATGGATGGATGGATGGATGGAAGATGGATGATGGATGATGGATGGAGAGCCTCATAGAATCGAGGTCACAGCCTCAAATGCCTGGCTAGTCTCTCCATGATGGAGATGTAGGTTTACATACTTGAGTTGTAATCTTTTAACATCTAGTTGGTCAAACAAAATACAACAGCATGATAGCCACCAGTTGGCAGTCCTGGGACGCAGGAGGAACCTTCTTAATTTGTTGTTGGAAAAACTTCCACCAGGTGGCTTAGCAGGCTGGCTGCGGATAACAGAGTTGGTGATGCATCAAGTCACTACACTGGACAGTTCTTTCTCAGACTCCAGTTCTAGAAGTCTTCCACCAGTTTCCCCATAGGTTGATATTAGGTGCCTAAGTGCTTGGGAGAAAGGGCATGAGCGCCTCCGTGCTGTCAGCGACCTGGAGAGGGGCGCCTACAGCTCCCTAGAGCCCACACTGCGCCCCCACCTCTACCCATCCCCTGTAGCGCTGTCAATCCCCATTAATGCTAACAGGCTCCAGACAGAGCTGCCTGGCCACTGGGTTAATGCAATCCGCGCATTACCTGGGGCACAGGCTACATTACCAGCCTGGCCCCCGCCCGGCACCACCACAGCCAGCCAGCCCACGCCCCTGCTGGCCTCCCGGTGCCTCCAGTACTCAACAGGCTGCACCCGAGCGCCACGCAGCAGAGTCCAGCCCGGGTGTGCGCCCCACAGCTGGCCAAGGAGCTGCTGGTTCGGGGTAGGCAGGGAGCACAGTGGGCCACAGCTCCTGGGGACCCCTTACGGCAGGCAGGACGCGTGAGTGAGCTCTACATGAGGGCAGGGATTAGGGCTCGATTTGGAGGGGAGGCCAAGGCTGAGTGAGCACTGCGGAACTGGAGAGCCAGTGAGTTTAAGTGCAGAGCTCTTGGGCAGCTGGGAAAAGTGCAGACCTGAGTTGAGGGTGCCGAAGAGTTGAATCTGGCCACCCAGGCAAACTTTGACCTTAGAGAGTCCAAACTCGGTGGATTGGGGGTGAAGAGTCGGGAGCAGAGGGTAAGGTAGAGCGCTACTTCCCCGCCAGCACTCTCCATCTATGAGTGCAGTCCTAATGGGGCGAACCGCAAACTCCGCTTCCAAATTTTTCCAACAATTGCGCGCCTTTTCGGGAAGTCCCGAGTCTGTTCAGCGTGTGCTGATCCCAGTGTTCCTGGCGCTTCCTGGGAGGTCTCGGGAGTAGAGCGGAACCGCTCGTAACCATCTCTTTTCCTTTCATCCAAGAGGACCTTGTGCATTTCCAGTCCAGTTCAAGCCACTTTCGCCATGCTTCTGGCACGGATGAAGCCTCAGGTGCAGCCTGAGAGCAGCCCGGAGGATGCCAGTCTGGAGAAGCCCTTGAGGGCGCTCAAAACGGCAGATTTGGTGGTGGTCAAAGAGCGCAACGGAGTCCAGTGCGTCCTGGCGCCCCATGGCAGCGACACGCTACCCCGGGAGACCTGGGGCAAGAAGATTGACTTCCTACTGTCGGTGGTCGGATTCGCAGTGGACCTGGCCAACGTGTGGCGCTTCCCTTATCTCTGCTATAAGAACGGAGGCGGTGAGTGCCCCGGTGGGCTTAGCGTTTGTTTGGACTTGGGGCGGGGGCGCCGTACACAACCGTGACAGCAGCAGAACTGGAGAGCACGGGGTGGCAACCTTGCACATCAGGGGCGAGCAAGGGACTGGGGAGCAATCACAAAGTTTCCAGAGGAAGAGCAGAGAAGGGGGGGGCAAGAGTATAGATAAAGGTAGGCGACTGGGTAGGGCAGAATCAGGGCCAACAAACTTGATGAGAAACTTTGACCTTGTAATGACTTGCAAGATGAGAGATGGAGATTTGGAAGGCTCTTGAAGGGGCACAAGGCATGTCAAGCAGAGACTCAGTGACCTTGAATCTAGCCTTGCTCTGGAGTAGGAGGGGGATGGACTCGGGTTCTTGATGGTGTCAGGTGACACCCTGCACGGTTGGGCTTAGTGACTCAGAGACAGACACACAGAGGAGAGTTCCCCTGTCAGATGGGCTGGTGTGTCCCTGAACAAAACCCACAGCTTAGTTAGAACTGGACCGGGAGTTACCAAGAAGAGCTGGCTTGAGTGCTTCAGGTGAAAAGTCCGAGTATAGAGCTGGAAGCCCCTTCTCCTGGGATTCTTGCCTTGCAAACAGTCTCTGTCCAGTTGTTCAGTCATTTATTCCTTTTCAGGACTGTCTCCAAATGAGCTAGGCACTGTGAGGGCAGACACTATTGCTTTTTTTTCAGCCCTGGATTTCTAATATCCAAAAGAGCATCTGTCGTGGGATTGGGGTAGAAGGCACCCAATTCTATTATTTGTCATTCACCTCTACTGAGTGAATGAATGAATGAATGAAAGAAATGGTTCCTGCCTTCAAATACCTGAAGCCATGTTCTGAATTTACAGTATAAACAGCCACGGGTGATTCATGGAATGAAGTAGTTCACACTGTTAGGAGGACTAGAAATCTGTGAGTGTTGGCTGTGGAGTTACATGGTCCTGGGTTCCAATTCCTAGTTGAGGGACTTTAGGCAGCTGTCTGAGCCTCAGTTTCTTCATCTATGAAATGGAGATAATGGTGGTCTTCACACAGAGGGCTGTTGTAAGGATTGAGGCAATGATACACATGCAGGCTTGATGCATGGCCTAAAGAAACATCACTGTTGCTTTTTATCAATTTGATGATGGTGGCGACTTGTGGAGTAGGTAAGACAGCTGTGAAGGCCTGAGGAAGGAGAGAATTGGCCATGGTTAGAGTTAGCTCCTCTGCCCAGAAGGTCATGGACAGGATATGAATTAGTTTCAGGGCAGCAGGAGTGCATGTGAGGTCATCTCAAGAGGCGCACAGGCTGGCTGGAAGACAATATGGGTGAGGTAAGAGCAGATGGTCAACTTGGGCCAGGCTACAGAGGCCTTGAATGTCCGCCTCAGGGGAAGGGACACGACACTAGTGAGTCTCCCTTTCCGGCAAGGATGTCCATCATTGGTGTGTTGCGGGAAACAGTACAGTCTCATCTGAGAGAATGAGGTACTACCTCTTCTAACTCATGCCTTCAGGGGAAGTCTGTTGCCTCTGGGCTGTATCTCTTCTGGATGCTTCCTTTGGAACAACTCTCTTCTCTGCTAACAGTTCTTAAATGACCCCCAGAGATGGGCAAGGCGGTTTGCAGGCAGGTATTCAGAACCTGTAGCCGCCACCAAAAGACTCAAGTCTGAAGCCCATCAACCACTGCTCACTGAGTGCCCTTGGGCATGACACAGCCCCTCCCAAAGTCCTGGCTTTCTGCCTCGGGGGAGGTGAGATTAGATGACCCCAAAGTCCATCCCTCTCTGAGACGTTGGCTCAGTCCACTCCAGAGCCAGGTGTTGCCTGTCTTGTAATTGTGTGCTTTTCTGGTGCCAGGATTAACATGGCAGCCTCTTCCAAGCTGGCTGTTCACGCTGGCCTGGGCTGGGAGATGTTTTCAAATGAAGATGCCAACAGTTCAGGCCTCCGGCTAATACCTTCAGAATGAATTGCTGGGAAAGACTAGCCTGCCTGAACATCTTCCCGTTATCCGGAAGACCAGCTGCTCGGATTCAGGAGCTGCAATGCCTCCCTCAGGGTTTTCCTAAGAACCTTCTAGAACAACGTGCGTCACTGGGGAGGCAGTGCTACCAAACAGGTGGCGCTGTGCCCAGGCTTGTAGGTTTTCCTTGCTCAGCTGCGGTCTTTGGTCCGTGGTAAGGAAGGGGTAGATTGCTGGGTCCCCATATCTGCTCCCGACTGGTACAGAGGCCAGTGTGAACTCTTCCTTGCTCACGTCTTTCTGCTCTTGTTTGGAATGTGTTGTGGTGAGCTTATGACCACGAGGTTCAGACAAACCAGATTTGAATCTGGCTCTACATTTCCTTGAGAATGTGACCCTGGATAAGTCACTGTCTTTTCTTGTGTATAAAACAAATAGTATGAAAAGACTGGCAGTGGTTTTCTGGTACAGTGATGTAACATCAGAGACTATCACAGGGTCTCAGATCAGTGTCTGGCACACAATAGGAGCTTAATAAATGGTATTGTAACTATTATTATTATATTCTTCAGCAATATTGACAGCAAGGTAGACCTAGGGGAGAGGGAGAAGTCCTGCCTTGGGAGTGAGCAGAAATCATTCTAAGGGAAAACTTTTTTTAATTAATTTTTATTTTATATTGGATTGCTTACAAAGTTCAAATATATTGGCGTTTCACAATATTCTTCATTCACATTCGGTTTCCAGTATATACTATTCTCCAAAAGTAACCAACATTGAACTATGGCCACCATTGCCCTGTCTTTCCAGATCCCTGCCAGATTTTTCCCATTTCCTTTACCCATCCCTCTCTCTACCCACCAAATTGTGTGACCTTATGATTTTTTTCCTTGCCCATCTTCACCTCTCAGTTCCTCCCCTGCACTCCTTGTATCCTCATACATATTTTACTAATTGTCTTCCTATTTCTACAATAATGGTCTTATACTGTATTTGTTTTGATGAGACTAAGTTAGTGCACTCAGCATAATGTTCTCCTGGACCTGGTGTCCTGGTGTGTTAGATAGAGGAACTGAGAGCTCCGTGTTCCTGTGACCCAACTTTGCCTCGGAGGACAGTGGTGGTTCAGTGGCAGAATTCTTGTCTTGTGAGGTGCGGCACCACATATGCCATCAACCACTCACCTGTCAACAGTGGCCTCCATGTTGCTGTAATGAAGACAATTCAGCAGACCTTCTAGATGAGGTCTAGGAAGAAATGCCTGGTGATCCAGCTCTGAAAACCACCTCAAGAAAACTCTGTAAAAAAAATGACAATCCGATCTCCTGGTGTCTGACACTCCTGTGAGTCAGGAGACTTGACAGCAACTAGCAGTAAGGGAAGCCTGGTGGTGCCAACATTAAGTTCTCTGGCCAAATGTTTGGTGGTTCAAACCTATCTGGCACTCCAGGGGAGAAAGACACGGCAATCTGTTTTTGTAAAGATTGACTGACTTGGAATCCTGATGGGACGGCTCACTCTGTCCCGTGTAGTCTCTATGAATTGGACTCAACCCAGCATCAACCAGTTAGGTTTGGGTTTAACCACAACCACCTTATCTCACTGTAATTTCCTTAGCAGAAAGTGAGGTTCAGCATTACTGTCTTAGAGGTGGTAGGAGTCTGGAAGATCTTGGGTCTCTGGCCTTCTGGAACTCTCCTAGCCAAAGTACCTATGGTAACTGGAGCAGAGTTGCCAGACACGAGCCCTCACATCTGCCTGGCTGCCAGTTGGTACCTGGCACTAAGTCCAGATGACAAGTTGGCTCACCGTTTTACAGGAATGAGGCTGAGGCCTCCATCTGGGTCATAAGTATAATTTGGCCCCCAGCTCCTGGCTTGGCTAAAAGACCTGGAGACTGTTCCCAGGAGATGAGATAGAACAGGGATAAATGTATATCCTGCCCTGCCGTTCCTAACCCAGATGATGCCCAAGGAAGGATTAGCTACAGCACAAGTAGTTTTCATTTGCCACATCCTCTTCTTATGAGTCACCACTAGGATGGGTCCTTTTAACCTAAGAATATTATATTGCATGTCTGCCACATTCCAGGAACAGAGGAATGGACAAAAGGCACTCTCTACCTTTTGAATACCTTTCAGGAGTTCGCAGCCTGTTGCTGTTTTGAGCTGTAGAGTCTGTTAAGATACCTAATGACTCTTGGAACCACATATCTGAACCTTGCTCTCTCCTGTCCCACCCTCACAATCTCCAAAATGCTGGTCACTGTGTCAAGGAGTGAAGGGGTTTAACCATCCTTGCCTCTAATGCTATTGTTTGAGTCCTGTTATTAGAGGTATTAAAAACCAAAAGAAGGAGGTTAGCTTCCACTGATTTGTGGTTCTGATTATCTCACATACTCTCTGGTTTATTCCCTTTAAAGAAACCAGTGTTGGGAGCTTTCTGAGAGTTGTAAGAAAACCTCCAGCTTGATTTCCTAACTAAAGTCATGCCACGTCCTCCGAAGTTGATGACAGGAGAATTGCAACATGAGGAAATGGGAGCCCCAGTTGGGTCTAGTGTTCTAGACCCCCAGAATTCTGCCGGAGTTGCCTTCTTGAGGGAAGGCAGGTTTAATCTGTCAGAGGCATGGTTGTGTTTCTTCCCCGGGCTGTTGGCACGCGGAGGACAGACACATTAGCCTGCAGGTGGAACCCGTGGTGAAGGTGAGGGAGCGACCCCTGGTGGCCCAGGCAAGCCAGTGCGCACGTTTTGTGAACTTGGTGACCTTGTGTTTCCTTCCCTTTCAGATACTAGAGTCTTCAGAAACCAGCTCCTCTCCTGTGGTGGAGTGTCAGGTGGTGTGATTTGGACTAGAGGCAAGGGGACTGAGCTTTTTTTTTCTGACTTTCCCGAAGGCCAATGATCCTAGTCTTGTCCACAGCTGATAATTATTTTCTTTCTGTGCATCTTTCTCTGTTGATACATAGAAGTGTGATTGTTTTTGCATATGTAGGTGTGTTTCTCTGTGCAGGTGCGTTTCACTGTGCAAGGGCGT